AGATTTTTCTAAGGAATTTCGTGATTTAAGGGATTCGTTCATCTTTTTTTGACGCAAAGTATGTCTTTTGTTCCTTTTGTTATTTGTGAGTATCGAAGAAGCTATTTCACTTTGATTTGTTAAGGAATCGTGTGAACAAAGATTGATTTAGTTATCGGACACCATAAATGATATAAATTCAAAATATACATCTTACAGATGAAGTACTTCATTTGTTAGACTTAATGTCAACATAACTAATCGTTTTATAGATCGTCTTATACTAATTCATCTTATTGATTGATCTGAAAAACTTTTATCTACAAAAATATTTATATTTGTTATCATTAAAACTTAAAACCTAATGGATTTAAGATCGGCTTTTGACCTAATACCTCTGTTGTAAGAAATCTTCATAGTTGATATGTGTGACCACACATTAGTTGAATATCGATCTTTATGTTGAGAATGTTGATATGTTGAAGCTATTAAGATGTTGTGTTGAAAACTATATGTATTGTAATTGATGATAATTGAAGTTGTGGTTATCAGATAATTGTTATTTATGTTGCTCATGTTGTCAATTTACTATGTTGGTGTTTGTTGATTCTTTTCACAAACTTATCCTTTATTTTTCTTGTGGTTGGAATTACAATGATCATGCTTGGTATGAGAGTAGGGCAAGATCAATAGGTTTGCTTGGTTAGCTGGTGAAGAGTCATGCTGATGATTACTGATTTTGTTAATGTTACTTGATGTAGCATGGTCATTATATAGATGTTTGATCAACGATTAGGGATTGTCTTGTGTACAATGATTTAGTCTTATGTATATTGTATATATGTACAAGGTGTATATGTAACCCCATTAAGAGGAGCTATGTTTTCTAGTTGATGCATATGAAATATTTTTAAGTTTTCCACCTTATACATATATCTATTACACGAATGACTAGGAGTCTGTTGCATGATAATTATAGGTTAGTTGATTATTGTTTTATTTTCTGTTGCATATGACTAAATTATAGTAAGTATAGTGACCTATTGGATTGTTATATCAAATCTTGTACATGCATATATACATACACACACGCACACACAACCATCTAACTGTAAACATAAATCTTTAAGTTGTTGTCAAGCAACTACTAAACAAAAGTTGTTTTAGAACAACCAAAATAAACACCGTCATTTTCAGCATGACCCTACAAATAACTTGTTTGACCTCCAACCTAATCCTATCTTGCTCCCATAAAAATATAATCATCATAGTCCATCAACAAGAAAAATGTAAGGGTAAACTTGTAATCAAAAGAAGCAACATAATATAGAAGCAATAAGTTAACTATATAAAACAACTCAATCAACACTACACAATATCAGTCCAAGGCCTAGTTTAGCAACACAATACAACATATCAACTTAACTTGTATCACCACTAAACAACTTACTCTTATGTCAACTTAGCAATTATTAACTACATCAACATAGTATAGAAATAACACAACAACTTGGAACTCAACATAACTTAGTAACACAACCATACAATGCGTCATCATGTATTTTAACTAAGAGATCTTTCACAACACATGTGAGCAGTCTAAGTGGTTTAACCCTACATAACCAACTTAGCAACACGATCTTTTTTAGGTTTGCTAGATGAACAACAAATTGGATATCAGTCCATGACACAACATGATTTCTCAAACTTTGCCACTTAGACTATGAATGTCTAATATCATTATCAGGAATAAAACAACTTAAGTGTAAGCCTACCATGACCTTAGCATCCATAACTAAGCCTATATGGAATAATTCCCCCGATTACCCTCCAAATACAACGCATTTTTCTAGTACTTAGTTAGGAATTTTGGCCCCCCAACCTTGTACCTTACATGATTGATCACTTTTAAACCAGTATAACTCAACTTTGCCCCCATACAATATTAACTAAGGGTTTAAAGGAGACTCAACACTCCATTTCAAGAGACAACAATACTCTAAGAGGATTTTTCAATAATTAGGATCATAGAGTACCATAACACATATCATCACAATGGGATATTTATCTTTTGAAATAAAACATCTCCTTTAGTCTTAAGTCAACAACATAATACAACTGCATTCATCAAGCATTTATCACAACATAATTTCATTCAATATATAACTTATCATCATACAACTCTACTTCATACACTTTGACTAATAATCAACTTTTAACTTTATCAACTTAGAACATCACCGTATATCATCATAGGTTAATACACAATGAACTAGATTAAATCACCATAGATATAAGGTAAATTATAATCATAATTCAACATTTAAATCAACTAAGTTACAATTTCCATTTAGCATAGCCATGCCTAACGCCATTCAACTAGCGCACAGTGTTGGCACGTGACAAAATCCACTTGCAATCAATAGTAATGAGACATAGAGTCTGTGTACACCACATCCGACGTTACAAAATCCATGTTCAAAGTTATTTAGGTAAAAAGTCTTTGCCTAACTCACTTGACACTACAAAATTGGCACCTTGTGTCGTCTAAGAAAAGAGCCATTGACTTGATCACACTTAACGCTTCTCTTTTTGCGCCCCGCGTCAACAAGTTAGATAGTTTCTCGAGTAATCATGCCCGATGCCTCTCATTCCACATCCAACATGACCAAGTCAAAGAATTCTTAACTAACTCACGTTCGACGCTACCAATCTTGTGTTCGGCGTTTATAAGGTAGAGAGCCTTTGACTTACCTCACGCCCGACACCATGAAGTTACACCCAATGCAATTATGATTTCTACACTTGTTAAAATCATGATTTGACTCCTATCACTTGAAATTTAGCCCAAAACTAACAGGCAACACACAAAACAACACATATACACTATAAGTAATTCAATTGCAACTAAAATTTCAATATGCAACTCACAATATTCAAAATCATCAATTTTGCTTCTCCTTTTATCAAAAGCCACAAAACCAAATAACAAAGAGTCCTTACTCATCATGCCATCAACATAAGCAAATATGAATGAATTCAACAACAATTCAACAATAGCCAATCTATAAGCTTACTTCACCTCAAATCACAATAAAAGAGGAGGAAGGAAGATGAATGACAGAGAATCGAGTCCTCCGAGCTACTTCGCATGACAACTCCTACACTTCGATTCTTAGCTCTCCAAGCTTTGAATCTCAACCCAATTGCACAATCTATGCTTCGGGGAAGGATCTATACACTCTATAAGATCAACGAAAGGAAGAAATATCTACCTTCAAAACTTTTCTCTCAAACTTCTCTATAGATTTATTAAGATATTAAATTTATGAAATTCAAGTTTTAAGAAAACTCTATATACATCTCTCCAAACTCGATCAACTTTGATTTCAACTCAAAACAATTTCTAAACAACTAAACTTGTAAGAATTCCTTAATTCTCATAATTTTACAACAATTAAACAACCAAATACATGATTATTTAATTAACTAAAATTCTAAAACTCATAGTGTCCCAAAAATCATTTTATAAAATAAATATATTTTACTTTTTACAAGTGTTTGATTAAATTACTTTTTAAGATTTTTATTTAATTTTTTAAGAAATAAATTCTACTTGTTTTTTTTAACATTTTTTTAGAATCACTTTTTAAATTTTGAATGAACAATGAATTTTATTAGTATAATGTTTTTATTATAAAATAAATATCTCAAAATTATAATATACATTAATATTTGATAGTAAAAAAATTTATTATACGTATTATTATCAAAAATGAAATCCAACTCCTGACAACACCAACCATGCCTATACTTACAGTGCTATACCTAATATCACTACAAGAAAAATGCTGATTTCCGACGGAAATTTCCGACGAAAATAGGTAAATTTCTGACGGATTTTTCTTTTTCCGACGGATTTCAATCCGTCAGAAAAAGTGGCGTCGGAAAAAAAAATCCGTCGAAAATAAATTTTTTGATGGAATTTTCCGACAGAAAATTCTGTCGGAAAATGAGGTAACATAAAGTGATGGAACTAGAAGAGGAAAGATAAAGATTCTGCATATTTGTTGCATCTATGTGCATTTGTTTTTTGTTCTACAGTTGTTTTTTTAGGCGGTTTACCTCTATTGTAAGGAGCAAACTCCAAATTTTGTTTTGATGTTAGATTAGACAAACATCTTGATCATCTCTAATGATTTGAAATCCAATGAAAAGCACACATTCCAATGTAAATATGTAATTCAAGTTAAATTAGACAAACTTCTTGATCATCTCTAATAATTTGAAATCAATTTAACCAAATTTTAAACTGAACAGGCACTAAAACAAACATTAGTTTGTTCTAGCCAACAAAATATGGCCATTTACCTCTCTAGACTGGAATGGAAATTTCTGACTCTATGAAGTTGAAGCATGGAATCAAAAATTTCATTCCTTCCACGCATAGCAACACTTGTTATTATGGAATAGAGGTAAGAACAGAATGGCCATGTTACATACTAAAAATGCTCAATTTTATTTTTAGGGCTGTCTTCATTGAACCTTTAAGTGAAGCAGTTTAACACTTTGTGTAGAGGAAATAATGTTTAACATCTCTGGATCCATGGACATTGAATGTTATGATATAATTGACATTGTTTTCCAATGGTGCTTGACAGGCCACTTATGGATGAAAGATATTCGTTAGAAGTCAACAAGGTGGCATTATGCTATATATTGGTATAGTACTATTGGACCACTTGATAATGTTCACTCCTACAAATAGGATATACTAGTATAAGACCAAAATGGAAGGAAGAGGTAAGATAAAGTGATGGAACTAGGGGAGGAAAGATAAAGGTTCTGCATATTTGTTGCATCTATGTGCATTTGTTTTGTTCTACAGTTGTTTTTTTAGGCGGTTTACCTCTATTGTAAGGAGCAAACTCCAAATTTTCTCTTCACATATTATAAATTTATACTTCATATTTATTATTTTACTTAAATACTCATGCATATTTTCCTATTGGTTGTGGCAGCTGTTGGCTTGAAGTGAAAAAGGCTTGAGATCCCACCTGATGTCTCACAAGATTACACTATTTTAGTTGTCCTAGGTACGTGCCAAATTCCATAATGATTTTCTTGCCATTTCTAAATTTAACTTGAACGTAGTATCTATCCATTAAGGGGAATTGGAGCATACACAATTTTTTGTTAAAATTATTTATAAATCATACAGAATTGCATTGTTCATTTGTTTTGTTCTGTTTTCAATTTTCCTTGCTCTTTCCATTCTATAGATTTTCTGCTGGAGAGCTTGATGTTTTATCTTGAGTTGAGAAAAATTTCTATTGTATAAAATTAGGTTTGTATTGTACAAAATTCTTAAAACTACCAGGCTTGGCTGGTTGTTCAAATACCTTGTGTTGATATGCGTCTTCAAGAGTTAGGACTTGATAAAAAGAGTTTGTTCTTTGGTAAATGGTAAAACAGATTGAGTGCTTGAATGCAGCTTATCTCTTGGTAAAATGTAATAGCAAGTATTTGCAAAATTGATTTTATTCAAAATTAAATTTAAAGGAATGTGATTTATTTTTTGACCTTTTATTTAAAAGGAAGTTAGTAGGAAAATTTAGTATAATATTTTTATAGAAAACAAAAGCTACCTAAAGTTCCTTCAACTGAAAATCAATTTATCAACCCAAAATCAAATATATGATTTTTGTTTAAAATCTTGTTTTGTATCTCACTCAAGCTAGTATTGGACTACTTGAAAATGTTCACTCCTACAAATAGGATATACTAGTATAAGACCAAAATGGAAGGAAGAGGTAACATAAAGTGATGGAACTAGAAGAGGAAAGATAAAGATTCTGCATATTTGTTGCATCTATGTGCATTTGTTTTTTGTTCTACAGTTGTTTTTTTAGGCGGTTTACCTCTATTGTAAGGAGCAAACTCCAAATTTTGTTTTGATGTTAGATTAGACAAACATCTTGATCATCTCTAATGATTTGAAATCCAATGAAAAGCACACATTCCAATGTAAATATGTAATTCAAGTTAAATTAGACAAACTTCTTGATCATCTCTAATAATTTGAAATCAATTTAACCAAATTTTAAACTGAACAGGCACTAAAACAAACATTAGTTTGTTCTAGCCAACAAAATATGGCCATTTACCTCTCTAGACTGGAATGGAAATTTCTGACTCTATGAAGTTGAAGCATGGAATCAAAAATTTCATTCCTTCCACGCATAGCAACACTTGTTATTATGGAATAGAGGTAAGAACAGAATGGCCATGTTACAATAAGATTTCCGACGGAAAATTCCGTCAAAAATTTCTGACGGAAAATTTCGTCGGAAATTTCCGATGAAATATTCTGTCAGAAATTTTCCGGCGACGGATTTATTTTTCTGTCGAAAATTTCCGACGGATTTATATTTCCGTCGAAAATTTCCGACAGAAAATTTCTGACGGAAAATTTTGTCAAAAATTTCTGACGGAAATTAAATCCGTCGGAAATTTCCGACGGATCCATAACTGTCGAAAATTTTCCATCGAAAATTTACATTTTTCTTGTAGTGTATTGTCCCCTTTCTTCAATCTTACAAGTTTAGGGCCATTTTTATACGAGTTTAAAAAGAAATGATTTGTTTGAGTTGGCTAACACGTACGAGTTGCTCTACCATCCAATAGAATGTATTCATAGATAATTAATGGATGTGTTTGAAAGAAACCAGATTCAATTCGTGCCATCCCTTAAATCCTACCCAATCCCCCATCTCTCGACAAAAGAATAGAACACTTATACAAACTAAATAACCGTATCAGATATCTTTTATTTAATCAAAAGAGTAATCACACAAAACCATATCGATCAATTCTCACGCAGGCTATATTTGTTGTTGTTGGTTGGAAAAAAAAAAACAAGAATAGATCTTATACAACAACAAACAAAAAACGTAAAAACAAAAATAAATCCAACAAATTTTATAAAAAGAACACAATGTATTTATATAATTTGGTCAATTTAACTTACATCTAAGGAAAATAATAAATTTCACTATCTGAAAATAATATCAAACCTTTTTAGTAGAACAATTAACCTTTTGTTATTTTCATAAATTTCTTGATCTTTCTAATTGATTATCAATTTCCCTCTATGTATCTTCTTCATAGTTCTATGTGCTCACACTCAACACTTTATTCTTCACATTTTCTCTTTATCTCATGCACTTTATAATAGATTAAGTCTTATAAATCCAGTTAAATTAAACTTATCAAATTAATAAAGACATTAAATTCATTAGATGAATAGAGATAAATTATATATATAGTTTCAAACGAATGAAATTAAATTAAACGAATAAAATTATATAGATAAAAAACTTTATAAAACATAAGATAATATTAAAGATTTTGAGTTATAATCCATAATTATAGTAAATACGAAAAATAAATTATAAAAACATAAAGGATGATTTTAAAAGAAGATTAATTAAACACCCCTATTTAAGTATCTATTCCATAATAACAAGTGTTGCTATGCGTGGAAGGAATGAAATTTTTGATTCCATGCTTCAACTTCATAGAGTCAGAAATTTCCATTCCAGTCTAGAGAGGTAAATGGCCATATTTTGTTGGCTAGAACAAACTAATGTTTGTTTTAGTGCCTGTTCAGTTTAAAATTTGGTTAAATTGATTTCAAATTATTAGAGATGATCAAGAAGTTTGTCTAATTTAACTTGAATTACATATTTACATTGGAATGTGTGCTTTTCATTGGATTTCAAATCATTAGAGATGATCAAGATGTTTGTCTAATCTAACATCAAAACAAAATTTGGAGTTTGCTCCTTACAATAGAGGTAAACCGCCTAAAAAAACAACTGTAGAACAAAAAACAAATGCACATAGATGCAACAAATATGCAGAATCTTTATCTTTCCTCTTCTAGTTCCATCACTTTATGTTACCTCTTCCTTCCATTTTGGTCTTATACTAGTATATCCTATTTGTAGGAGTGAACATTTTCAAGTAGTCCAATACTAGCTTGAGTGAGATACAAAACAAGATTTTAAACAAAAATCATATATTTGATTTTGGGTTGATAAATTGATTTTCAGTTGAAGGAACTTTAGGTAGCTTTTGTTTTCTATAAAAATATTATACTAAATTTTCCTACTAACTTCCTTTTAAATAAAAGGTCAAAAAATAAATCACATTCCTTTAAATTTAATTTTGAATAAAATCAATTTTGCAAATACTTGCTATTACATTTTACCAAGAGATAAGCTGCATTCAAGCACTCAATCTGTTTTACCATTTACCAAAGAACAAACTCTTTTTATCAAGTCCTAACTCTTGAAGACGCATATCAACACAAGGTATTTGAACAACCAGCCAAGCCTGGTAGTTTTAAGAATTTTGTACAATACAAACCTAATTTTATACAATAGAAATTTTTCTCAACTCAAGATAAAACATCAAGCTCTCAGCCAAAACCCATTTTTCTATTTTTTTGGGAAAAAAGACTGAGGCGGGAAAAGAGTGCACAACTCATTCTTACAATTTCAACTGAAGTAGAACTTGAGATGCGTGGCATTCCAAGTTCTGGTTATGGATTTTCCGCTAAGCTTTTCTAGATGATATACCCCATTTTCTAGGTTTTCTGTGATCCGGAATGGACCGTCCCAGTTCGATGCAAGTTTTCCTTCTGACGAATCTCTGCGGGCATCTCCTAGTAGTCGCCAGACCAAGTTGCCAGGCCTGAAGGAGCGAGGTCAGACTCGCGTGTTGTACCTCCTGGAGGCTCGAAGCTTGCAGGCCTCTTCATGAATCCGAGCTTCGTCTCTGAGTTCGTCAATCAGGTCAAGGTCGACTGCCGTCTCTTGGGCGTTTTGCTCACTGTTGAAAACAGCATCGGTGAGACATCTCACCAACCTCCACTAGGATCATAGCATCGGCTCCATAGGTTAGCCTGTAAGTGACCAAGGAATGTGGAATACCAAACCTGCATATAATGCTCTTCCAGGTGAACTTCTGTACATTCTCGGTGGTGATCTTGGCAAGTGGGCATGCCTCGATCCACTTGGTGAAGTAGTCGATTGCCACTATGAGGAATTTGAGTTGACTCTTTGCAGGGGGAATGGTCCGAGGATGTCCATTCCCCACTAGGCAAAAGGCCACGACGACATCATCTAGTGGAGAGCTTCTGGTGGTTGCCGATATGTGTTGCCGAACTGCTGGCACTCCTTGCACTTTTGTACGTAGGCTTATATATATATATATATATATATATATATATATATAAAATCAATTCTATTGAGATAAACTTTAATTTAAACAGCTAAAGGTAAAATAATCCTTAACATAAAGATTCCCTATAGTACTATATATTTTTATTTAATAAATATTTTATTTTCTAATAGTAAAATAGTTTTTTCTTAAATATATTATAAAAGTTTTGAATTGTCGACCAAGATGACTAAGATAACGTTAAAACATTGCTAATATATCCATTTCATTCTATTTCACGTTTTAATATTTTTTACTTATTTTAATTTGATTTTCGTTTTACAATATTAATATAACAATTTTTTTTCCTATTATACTCTAAATAATTATTAATGTATTTTTAATTATTGATTAGAATTCAAAAAGATTTAAGAATAGTAACGAAATTTGAAAAAAATTTGAAGTGCTAAATTAATCTTTTTATATATAAATTAAATTTTTACTAATTAAAAAAATAACAAAATTTCTTATTTTTTCTACTCAAAATAAACATGCACGGTAATGAAATTCCAAAAAAATATTATCATTCATTAGTCATTTCATAAAATAATCATACAAATATAATATTATATATATAATTTTTTTTAAGAAAAAGTTGGAGAGTCGTGCCTCTCCCTGTCATAAAAAAGATCTGCCACTGTTTAAGAAAATCTTGAAAATTTACATAAATTATTTTATAAAATTAGACTCATTAATTATATGTATTAATTTATTAAGCCTCTGTCGAAATTTTAATCGACAAACAAAATATAGAAGAGGTGTAAAATCGTGCAAGGGACCACTGCAACCATTATATTAGACAATTACCTCGAGATTAGAAGGGTTTATTTATGAACTTTGGACCTAAAATTGTAGAAGTTTTGGATCTTTCTCATAGGTGGTTAAGGTGCAATGAGCACATTCCATGCAAAGGCATCATACACATTAACGCACCACCCCTTTTTAATCACATTAGGTCACGTTGTGAGAGCTTGGAACAAGGTTTCTTGCACTCTTAAATAACACGATAATATATTATCAGATATAAATATAATTTTCATAAAAAAATATATCAAAATTTAATTGGTTTTATTTCTTCAGATATCTATGACATATAAGTGATATCACATGAGTTCACCTGATATTGAGATCGAGATATATAATCTCAACACCTTGTCCTAGACACGTGGACTTAATAATGATGATCCAAAAAGCAAAGCAAATCATTTATGCTTTATTATCTTAGCTTACTCTCACAACCACTCAATCATTTCCAAACGCGTGTACATCGAGAATCCGAGGTCCTTTCCCATGTCTTTTTGCACGTTTAAAAGGACAAATTCATCCTACCCGTCCATTTACCTTAAAACAGATCCAACGGCTAGGAAGAAATCCGCTCCAAGCCATCCATAACACCCAATGGAAAGGCTCCACGTGGCCATCGAGAACCGCCATAGGCACGAAATATTACCTGGAATTGCCGGTCGCAAAGCGAAACCGTGCATAGTTTGTGTTTTGTTTTTTTTTCCTTGTAGCCAGGGTTTGTTGGAGCAGTAGCAATACCATAACATAGCACATCGATTTAGGTTTCTTTCATCGTCACCATATTCAAGAGAACAACAACAACACTGTTCCCTTTTTCCACGATATTAGTTATTTTGAGGTTTCTTCGCTTGTGGACGTCGACTCTTCCTTCAACCGCAATTTTCGGTGCCTATTTTTTTTTTTTTTTTTCATTTTATCTGAAAAATTTAGCATCATTTAATGTTTCATCACCTACTCTCTCCTTTACCTGATCATCCCTAATTATTACAACTCGATACTTTGCTTTTCCAAGACTTGGTCTTTTGCATCATAATTAAAATTATAAAATTTGATTAATTAGATCCAAATCCAATCATCATTCCTTGCTACTTCCCCAGATAACGTACTTTTCCTGGAACCCTAGAAGAATTCAGCCAACAACAGTGTTCAGTGTGAAAAGCTGCCTTTGTTTGTTGTTGATTTAGTGATTATTGGTTTTTATATGTATGATTTGGGAGAGACTATGCCTGTGGGAATGGATTTCTCTCCTCTGTTAGAGGACAAAGAGGGTGCATTTGTGGTGGAAGATGAGAAATTGGGAGATTCGGATTCGGATAATCTAAAACCAATGACCAAGGGTAAACCTCCGCGGCATGGTTCGGGTATGAGGCACAGCGTTAGCACCACCAAATTGGTGGCTGTGCTGGATTTGGTAAGTTTATTGTTTTCATCAAGTTATGTTTTGACAATCTGGTTTAATACTTGCTAGCTACTGTTTTCGGTTAGTCTTTTATCTTGTTTCTCTGTTGCCCTTACAATTGTCAATTCTGTAGCTTTCTTGTAATGCCTTCAGTCAATCTTTATGATTCGTCGTGGGAAGCTATGTGAACTTGCATGCCGTGAAGATTTGATATTCTTTCCAACTTCTTATGGAACTTCATTTCCTTTTCAACAATAATACTATACTTCACTTTGTAATGTGTCGGTTGTCTAATTTGTCTGTTTCTCTCTCTCTCTTTTTTTTAAGAGTTCGGATGTGGGGGTTACTGGGAGCAAGTCATCTTCTGAAGAAAAGACAGAGTTTCTACCAATGTTTCGGTCAGGAAGTTGTGCTGAAATAGGACCTAAACAATACATGGAAGATGAACACATATGTATAGATGATCTTATTCAGCATATAGGTCCTGCTTCAACTATTCCTTCACCCGGAGCTTTTTATGGGGTTCGTCGTCTATTTTATTTTTATATTTTACCTGACATTATAGTTTACAATCACTTTGATAACGCCAGATTTTTCCATTAATGTTACTTGGATGCATTTATTCCCCCTCCTTTGGATTATACTCTATATTTTTATCAAAAAGTTATCTTTTATAACCACTGTTCTGAATCCAACCTTTCTTGACACCTGTAATGTTTATGGGATGAATTATGGGTGATGTTAAAATTTGACAGTGCTGAAAATCAGGAGACACTGTTTTATTCTGATTATTTATTTTTGTTGCCCACATGATGTGATTCAGAGTTCCGGACTCTATTTTTGTTTGCATGTTAAGTTTAACAGTTCATTAACCTCTACTCACTGTACAGGTGTTTGATGGCCATGGAGGTACAGACGCAGCTTTGTTTATAAGAAATAACATCCTAAGGTTCATAGTTGAGGACTCCCATTTTCCAACTTGTGTGGGGAAAGCAATTACAAGTGCGTTTCTGAAAGCTGATTATGAATTTGCAGATTCTAGTGCACTTGATATTTCCTCTGGCACCACTGCTTTAACTGCTCTTGTATTTGGAAGGTAATCAATATTCATTATGATTATATTAATGTCCATGATTCAGTATCAGCTTCACTAATTATGACAACCGGCAATTATTACTAATAGTTGCCTTCCTAGCGTGTTGGCTTTTAGTTGTATAGGGAAGGAAGTTGGTACATTGTAGTGCCTTTTATTTATGGAAAATGTTAACCGGTGTCCGTTAAAAAATAAAAGCAAAAAGTTATTATTAAAAAGTGTACCACACATTCTTCTATGTAACCTTATTTTAATTTCCAATGAAAACTTTCTACATATAGCCAGACCCTTTACTTGTACACATAATAAATCATAATGTGTTACGAGCATGCATTTAATATTTCCCATGTGGAGACTGCAAATGCACCTAGTTGCATGATTTCCTCAAGTTGTGAAATTTCATCGTTGACAGGACCATGATTGTTGCCAATGCCGGAGATTGTCGAGCTGTACTGGGGAGACGAGGTAGAGCAGTTGAGATGTCAACAGACCAGAAACCGAATTGCATTTCGGAAAAGCTAAGGATTGAGAAACTTGGCGGAGTGGTATACGATGGTTACTTGAACGGCCAGTTATCTGTTTCCCGTGCCTTGGGAGACTGGCACATGAAGGGTCCCAAGGGTTCTGCATGCCCCTTGAGTGCTGAGCCAGAGCTGCGAGAAATCAACCTGACCGAGGATGATGAGTTCTTGATTATGGGCTGCGATGGCCTTTGGGATGTAATGAGTAACCAGTGTGCTGTCACCATGGCCAGGAAAGAATTGATGATACATAATGACCCTCAAAGGTGTTCAAGAGAGCTTGTCAGAGAGGCTCTTAAGCGTCACTCGTGTGATAATTTAACAGTTATCGTCGTATGTTTCTCCCCAGATCCCCCTCCTAGGATAGAGATGCCACCTTCTCGAGTCAGGAGGAGTATATCAGCGGAAGGCCTCAATTTACTTAAGGGTGTATTGGACTGTTAGTGTTAGTTTGTGATGATTGTTTAGGTTTAGATAAGAATGGATATTATTGTGTGTATAAAATTATTTTGATGTGGTGGTTGCTGGGGGATCTTCGCCCTCCACTGCTGTCCCATACATTCCATGATTATTCTATTTGTTCACCTTCCTAACATCCCTTAGAGAACCGTTTTGTTGTACATAAGAGGTCATTAGTTTCTTCAGTTTAATGGGATTATATTCATCAGTTGGGATTCCTTTCCTCTCAAGAACGGTATACGAGATAATGCTTTTCGCTTGTCTATTTATGCTTTTCTTTACTCTTTTGACGTAAGGAATAAAGGTAGTCGTAAAATCGGTGAACCGGGGATAGACAAACTCCTTAAATACAAATCGTGGATGAGTACACCAGACTTAGACTAACCCAGAATAACTTCCAAATCTTAGAGAATAATCCAGAAATTGGCAGTTTAATATTATGTTGATCTCGGAAATGGATGAAACATTTTTGAAAATCGCAAAATGCCAAGCAATATCCAGTTTATCAGACAAACAATAATGCTCTCCCCAAACTCTCAGCCACTTCTGTGATGTTTTATATGGCCATCTTCCAGGATGGTTAGAGATAAGAACTTGTTCTTCTGAGTTTCTAACATTGGAACTTGATAATATAACTATCAAGTGTAAAAACCAATTCTTATATAGGAACTGAGTGATCAAAAAATTATTTTGCTTCTCTGAATCAATCAAAAAATTTAAAGACGTGCAGTCCGTTGTAGACTTGATTTAAAGTCTCAAGAATTCTATCATTGGAATGAAAAATTGTTTGAAATTCTATAGAAATGTAAGGTCTACTAAAAATAAGTTAAAAACCACAGCTGGGTTCTCCATTGGGTGAGGTATCTAGTCTATGAAATTACTAGGTATTACTAAATATTTTTAACAAAAAAAATACAAAAAACAAAACAAGATTTTAGACCCTTGATAATTACTTGATTAGAGAGTCTGATCCACCACATTGCTGAAAGAGTCTTCTTTTGTAATGAGAAAATAGACCATTTCCAATACCATGAATTTTGGGATGCACTCTATCAATTTATAATTTGGCCAAAAGCTGGTATTTCCAGCCATCCTAATATCCATCGTTTTAGAGCTCTCCATTACGTCCATCGTCGTCGACCTCTGCCGCATGTGATACACTGCATGAATATAGCCATATCAAGTCATCTACATATACCATAATTTTAAGTTTCAATTGTTAATAAGTACGATGTTTGAAATATTACAAAAGCTCTTGACAAGAATCGAGTCAACTTAGAAGAATCTCGTTTTGAATTTGAGTAAATTATACTCCTCTTACCGGAGAAATTAATGTGGTACAACTTGGTTCATTTTAATGTAAATAAATCTTTTTAAGAGTAATTTTCTTCTATCTTTCTATTACTCTTAATATTTTCTGCAACTAGTCTTAAAACTCCACCATGAACTGAGACTTCAGAAGATGAAATTAAGATTCTAAATTTCTAAGTGGAGATATAAAGCTAATAATGTGAATACTGAAAATATTATCTTTTCTATTATAATCCAAAAATCGATAACACAATGTTCAAAATTAATTGTCAATCACCTTAGAAATTGAGGAGAAAAGAGAAATATGTCCACCACCACTAACAAAATTGTTTACATTGAAATGAATTAAAGTGAAGCACATGTTAACCTGTCAAAGGGGGTGTAACTTATAAAAATTAGGAGAGCATAGAAAAATTTAAGCATCTATCAGATGATGTCGACAGCGTATTTTATTCTTTGAAGTTCAATTTTGATGTCCGTCAGGTAGTTGTAGTTTACTTCAACGGACTATATGTAACATTTCAGATCCTTGGAGGAGGCATGTGTTTACTTCACTAAAAACAATAAATATATCACTTGCCAATGGATGCACGGAAATTTACGAGAGCAGCAAAAGCTTTGTAAGTGTGGAACTATCCTACATGGGTCAAAGGTCATATACGATACATATATTCAAATTCATTCCTATAAGCCCCCTTTTACTAGGAAGATAGGCCAGAAGGAAGACCACCTCAGTAATTCTAAAAGCTAGTTAGAATGCTTGTGATCAATAAACAATGATATTATCTTTAGAACATACAACCTGGTACCCAAATACCAATTTTAGAACATGAATTCAACAAATGTGTCTCGCCTTATCAAGCAGACCAATATGTTAGGATAAATTCCTACAATTATATTTTAAGTTACCTCGTTTGACTGCAGTGTTTGCTCAAATCTTGACAAAGAACTTTGCTCACACCTCCCACTTTAACAGATCCTTTTCTGATCAATTCAGCCAACTGCAAGATTGGCATCATTTGAAAAAGAAAAACCATCACTGCCATATAATGCAGATGAACATATATACATTAACTTCTAAAAATTCAGAACATGAAAATTCACCTCATCCTCTGTTTCTTCAAGTAATCTGGTCACAGTGCACAGATGGTTAGTCCACAAATGCAATACTCAAGCTTTAACAATAACTTGTTGCAAAAGATAAAGGCAACGCTTTGATGCCAAAAGTATCCAGTTAAAAAATATTACTAGAGGTAAAAGCATAAAACTAGTTGCCTCTTACCTCCCACAATAAGAAGATATAGCTTTTGAATATGCCCGAGCTTCTTGCTTATCTATCAAGAGAAGAATTTAGAATAGAGTATTTTTATCAGAAAATTGATGAGAATTAAAGAAATATCTAAATATTTATTTGCTAAAGCATTAAAAAAAGAAGCAGACAACTAAAATGCTAAACACAGGATTAATCATCACAATGCAACAAACAGAAATATTTCACAGGTTAGTCTGATACGATAAGATGTCAACAATACTCAAAAGAATACATGCCACATGGTAAAATAAGTACTTCAAAACACCCTATTCAAGACAAGCATTCAAAATGCTAAATAAAATATATATTCTTATCCTCAATGTGTGAATTTTTTGAATGATTACAATTTAACACCCCTATTCATTCTACCACAAGCAAAATAATGGTTAATCTCTTATCATTTTAATTGTTCAACATATCATTGGACTGTTGAGTAACATAAAGCCCACATATTCTAGAAAAGACAGGTGTAGCATAAATGTTTTCTTAACTATGCTCCTCAGTTATTGGTTGCCAATTGCCATGAAAACCTGAATATCTTTTTTCTTGATGTTGAAGAAACAGTCTTGAAGTATATGGGCAGTAAAACAAACATACTGGAAAAATTGCAGAAGTCAACTATGCTATGGATAAAATAGAGGGCATACTTGTTATGATGTTATCCCAGCTATTCACTTTGAACCATTCATAGGTATTTGCACTTATCTGCAAAAATAGATGAAAATAGAATACCAATAACACCCACTCTGGAATATCTAAATATACAGCAAGTCAAAGGGGCAAAGAAGTGGTAGTATATAATAAGTATGATGCATTTATAACAAAATTTCCATATAAAATGTAAACACTAACACAACAAATAGCTACAGATTAAGAAACTGGAACAGTGAAGAAGAACAAATGTAAAGTATATAATCAAGCACCTTGAGTGTATAATCTTGCATCTTTTCACAAAGGCCGTCAAGAAGTTCAACGACTCTTAACTCGCTAACTCTGTATATTGTATAAAACAGTTTCACAGTTACGCAATCATTAGATGTTAGTAACTACGTTGAACAAATACATTTATCTTCAAGAGATCAACATACAGAGATGTAATTATAACTGTTTGAAGAAATCAGATGACCGATGTCAGATTGAATTCTGAAAATGAAAAAGTAGAGGATTCAGTTCCCAACAACTCCCTACCATACTATTCATTTCAACAATTTCCCAATCTATGTATGGATATACGAATGGAATAATGAAACAGAACGACACAAAATAAAGTTATTGTTTCATTGGCCGAATATTTTTATGATGAAGCATAGAAAAATATTGGGGATCTGGCTCCTCTAATGTGAGAAAGTATACTTTAGAGAATAAAATGCACTCACAAACATTGATTAGAAAAAAATTAACATTGAGAACTGAAATAAAATAAAATCTTATACATATATAACAAACTCTAAAATTAATTACAATCTCATCAACAAATGCGAGTACAATTTATCTCCTAAAGTGCACTTTAGGAGCCAAATCCAAAACGTAGCTTCAACTCACAGCGTCCAATTGAAGGGAAATTAGTATCTTCCCATTCCATTTCATCATGTTGCATCAATCCAAATATATATATACCTGTAATCGATTAGTTTTCCTTCACGTTGGCCTTTGGAGTCTAAGCGATGGCGCATATCTAAGTGATTCCGTGGCCTCTCCTGCGGAAATCGCAATGTCTCAATATTCGAAAAGCGGATCGTAAAAGATGTATGATCGAATTGAAATTAAAAAACATAAAAAAAAAAAAGACGTTACAGCAGAAAGCCCAATCTCTAGCTCCTCCTGCAAGGTGCAAACGATTGTGAGAGTGAGACCTAAATACGAAATGGTTATGAAATGAAGAATAAGATCTCATATGATTTAAAATAATATGATTAAAAATGGATCTATTTCGAGTTTGAATGGGGAGAGGGAAGAAAGCATACATACCGCGACGGCTTTGCAGGCGGCACATTTGTCATCAACGGCGTCGGAGGAGAGTAACATTCCGACGAGTATGAAGAGAAACAAAAACAGCATTGAGAATGACCCTGACATTCTCTTCTCTCTCTTTCACGCTTTCACCTCTCTACTCAGTATAGTCTTTGCTGCTAAAATCAATGATACATAAACTTCTCGAGCCTTCTCAGCCAACGCATAATATATATAGTTAATTTAAATATATTTTTAATATTTTAAATTTAAGATAAATTTATTTTTATTTTTTAAATTTAAAATAATTATTTTTAATAATTTTTTAAAATATTATTTTAATCTCTTAAATTATTGATAATTAACAAATTAATAAATTAAAATAATAATATAATATTAATTAGATTTAATATGATATTTTTATAAATAATAATATTAATAGATAGATTTTATGATATAATATTTGATAAATTTTTTAACAAAATTTAATTGTAAAAATTAAAATAAATTTTTTAAAATTATGAAGATTAAAAAGATTAATTTTAAATTTAAAAAATATAAAAAAATTATTCATAATAATCTTAATTTTTTTAATCAATATAATAATTTCATATTTCCTTGCACCATTTTTCTCTCTTATTAATTTTCTTACTTTTTATATATAATAAGTTTGGAACAATTTTAACTTTAAAAAGGTTTAATATATCAGTAAGTAATTGAGTTTTTAAAAAATGTAATTGAATTTTAATTTATTTTTTTTGTGATTAATTTTTTTTACTCAAATATAATTAAGTTCTTAGAATTAGTAAAATTGTCGCAAAATTTTATTTTATTGCAATTTCAAGCTACCATAAATTAATTCAGAGATTCAATATTGTTAAATATTAATAACTCAATTATAATTTTTAACTTTAAGGAAGTAATTAAGATTTGTTAAAAAATCAGAAACATACTAAAATCTTTTTTTTTTTAAGTATGGAACAATTTTATGTTTTCAACATATTGAATATATCTATTTTTATGAGTTACTGTAAATAAGAATATTTATAAGATACTATATTAGTCTTTTAATTATTATTAGTTTAAAAATCTGGGGCAAATTATATTTTCTTTTTTTTAGAATTATTTGACAGATTTAGTATTATATGTAGTCGTATATATAATTGGGTTTTTTTTTTCAAATTAGAAATAAAAAAGGTAAAAGAATGTAAATAATGTTCATGATTAAAAAGTTATATTTTATAATGATTGATGAACATGGTAGTACTCATGGTATGGTAGTCATTTTTTTCTTATAAATTTCGTGTATCTCTTTAAGAAAAAGACACATCAAGTAGTACAACTAACTATCCTCTGTCTTGTCTTCTCTGCTCTTTTTTGAGTTTTGGGTTTGAGACATTCTAGTCTCAGGCCTTAGTGCAAATATTAAGAAGTTCGTGTTATATCCGGTGTTTTAAAACTCGGATTGACTCGGCCGGTCAGATCGGTTGGACCGGGAATTGGTGGTCTAGTCGGTTCGAATCTGAAGTTAGATTGGTTATGCAGTCGACCCGTTTCAAACCGGATTGAACCGGTCAATTTTCTGGTTCAACCGGTGAACCGGTGGGTCAAACCGGTTCAACCACTTTTTTTTCTTATTTTTTTTAAATTTTTTTAAGGGACCATAAATCACAAAAATAATAATGAAAATTGAATCTCTTAATGAAAAAGCAAGGAGTCTTATTAAATATAACAATAACTACTTATTCTAATATATTTGTTTGCAATATATACAACTTAAATAACTTTTATAGTATATTATTAATTTTAAATTATATATTTAATAATGCAATATCTATGTAAATATTACATATATTATTTTGTGATATTAATTGCAAGCATATTATATATGTACATATTATTTATATTTTTAATTTGTATTAATATACCGTTTAACATGTAATTTTTTTATGTATTTTTTTACAAAATAAAAATAAAAATAATTTTAAATAAGATAGAAAAATTGAAATTTAAAATAAGATATGAATTTATTAAAATTTATAAGTATAAAATATATTTAATATAAATATTTTTTAATAAAAATCGAGTCATGCGGTTCAACTAGTGACCCACCGGTTCAACCTTTGACCCACTGGTTCAACCTTTGACCCACTGACCCAGTACCTTAACCGGTTCGATGACCGGTCCGGTTTTTAAAACTATGGTTCTATCTTAGGGTTTTCATATGGAATTTGGCCACGTTTGAGTCAAGAAGCAAAAAAATCTGAAGATTTGAAGACTTTTTTTGTTCTCTATGTTGGGATAAAATTTCTTAAACCAAATAGAAATTTTTCATTAATCAATATTAAGAACTGTTGTCTCAGATTATAGAGTTAATATTAATAATACGTACCTGTATCCATTGACGTTGATCAAAAGGTTGTAGCGGAATAGTCTTTTGGTGTAATGATCTTCTTCAGCCAAATCGCTGGATTCCTTGATGGGACTTGATGTTACTCTTCTGATGGGGAGACAGAGAGACGTGTGTTTCTGATTTGGCATATTGGGGACCATAACCATCTTTATGATTTTAAACCTATTAGGGTTCCCATTAACCCCTAACGGGCCAAATCTGGTTTTCACTTATATGGGCCCATATCAATTTTTCCTGTTGGCAGTCTAAAGGCTCACTAAAATTAGATCACTTTTATTGAGCCCAACTAAATGTAAATAACTAATATAAATACTACAAATAATATATGTAGCCCACAATAATTATTAGAAATAAAATTTCTAACAATCTCCCACTTGGGCTTCATATTCATTTAAGTATTTATATCACAAAATTCTTTAGGCGCGCAACCGTATGCTATTTACTTTTAGACTCCCCTTAAACAATCTGGTCCATCTCATACAACAACAGGGAACCACTGCAGCTTTCATCATTATCTAATGTGACTAAACCACAATGATCACCACAATTGTATGCACTCAATGACATAGATCAAATATGGATAAGTGGCATGGAAATTACATGCAACGTGATCTTAATCATGTCTATTTCCAACTGGTCCAAACTTTATTCTTTATAGAGATCCATTCAAAACGCAACATATATATATTGCACAAAAACAAGCTCAGAATAAAATTATGAACATCAACTTTATTTCTGTAGAAAATCCAAATAATACAAATATCTGGAAAAATTAAAAAATAAAGAAGACATAAAACATAAATGAGACTCCCACTAAACTAAGGTACTATAAGGAATTACACCCATATGAGCAGTGTGCTCATGAAAGACTTTAGGCACCAAACCCTTAGTAAGTGGATCAGCTAGCATAAAATTAGTCCCTATATGTTCTATAGAAATTTGCTTATTCTGAACTCTTTCCTTAACAACCAGAAACTTTATATCAATGAATTTTGACTTGGTTGTACTCCTATTGTTATTGGAATAAAGAACTGCAGAGTTATTATCACAATAGATTTTCAATGGCCTTTCAATGCCATTAACCACACGTAAATTAGTGATAAAATTTCGCAGCCATATCCCATGGTTGGATGCCTCAAAACAAGCAATGAACTCCGCAGCCATGGTTGATGAAGCTATAATAGTCTGTTTAACAGACTTCCAAGAGATAGCTCCTCCAGCCAACATAAAGATGTATCCAGATGTGGAGCGTTTACTGTCTTGACATCCGGCAAAATCAGAGTCTGAGTATCCAATGATCTCTAAACTGTCAGACTTCTGATAAGTGAGCATATATCCTTTTGTTCTCTTCAAATAGCGCATTACACGCTTTACTGCTTTCCAATGCTGCATCCCAGGATTACTTAAGTATCTGCCCAAAACTCCCACTATAAATGCAATATCGGGACGAGTACAAACTTGAGCATACATTAGACTTCCCACAGCTGAAGCATAGGGAATCTTTTGCATCTCATTTCTTTCAAGGTCATTATTAGGGCATTGTTTGAGGCTAAATTTGTCTCCCTTGGCTATAGGGGTATCTCCTGGTTTACTATCTTTCATGCCGAATCTATCTAAAACTTTATCGATATAGTTCTCTTGTGATAACCTTATGATACCATGAGAACGATCTCTTAGTATCTTAATACCTAATACAAAAGAGGCTTCACCAAGATCTTTCATTTCAAAATTCTTTGTTAAAAATCTCTTGGTTTCGTGCAATAAGCCTATATCGCTGCTGGCAAGCAGTATATCATCGACATATAACACCAAGAATATATATTTACTCCCACTAAACTTATGATAAACACAATCATCAACTATATTTGCCTCAAAACCATATGAGGTAATAACTTGATGGAACTTGTGATACCATTGACGGGAAGCTTGTTTGAGACCATAGATGGATTTCTTTAGTTTGCATACCATGGACTTTGAGTCACCAGACACAAAATTTTATGATTGCATCATATAAATTGTTTCTTTAATGTCACCATTTAGAAACGCAGTTTTAACATCCATCTGATGGAGCTCTAAATCATAATGAGCTACGAGTGTCATTATTATTCTAAAAGAATCCTTTGAAGAAACCGGAGAAAAGGTTTCTTTGTAATCAATGCCTTCCTTTTTGAGTGAAACCTTTAGCAACTAAACTAGCCTTATATCTCTCGATATTACCTTTTGAATCCCTCTTGGTTTTAAATATCCATTTACAACCAATAGATTTCACACCTTTTGAATTAGTGATTGGTCTACCTAAACTCAAGTTTGGTAAGGACAAACTATGTGATGCTTGTCAAAAGGGCAAGCAAGTGAAGACTAGCTTTAAAAGCAAGCTCATTTTTGATTGAGAATGACTATGAAAGAGGAAAGGTGAATAATACATTGTTTGTCAAGAAATTTAAAAGTGAGTTAAGCCAAATCTGTTTCTAATGCCATTCATTACAAGATTTCCTTAATTTTTTTTATCAATATTATTTCTTAGATATTAATAGTCATTTGCTAGCTTTTTCTTCTTGTCTTTTATGTGTGTTTAATTTTACACTCCTTGCTCTTTTTAGGATGAGAATTGAACTTGGAACTTTTACTTCCTTGATGCATTGTTTGCTTTTTACAGGATAGGAATTTGGTTCCCCAAAAATTTGAACCAAACAATAATTGATAGAGTTGTGAAGGGAGATGAGATGGAATGCATGAAAGGTGAGACTATTCTAGCCCTGAGTTAATTTAAATGTTGCAGCCTATTTATGCTTAAAACTTCTATTATAATTATATTGTTTCAGCATTTGTGAAACTTGTGATGTGAAAAGAATGATCATAAAAATATATAGTATGAAGTTGAAATAGCCTGTGGCTGCGAATAGAAATCCAAAAATGATTGCAAGAAATGTATATTTGTTGAAGCATGTATTTGACAAGCTAAGTCAATGATGATGGATATATGGTTGAAGGTATATGGTTTAAGGTTGTGGCTGAAATATTTTTTGACTTTTGAGTGTTATCCTGTTTCACAGTGGTCAATCATTGTTACATATATACATATATACACACACACATATATATAAACATATATTATATTATGGTTGGAAGAGGAGTGGGCTTACTAGGCTGCAAGTGTATGAAAGCCAAAGGAGGAATAAGGGGTAGAATATGTTGAGAGAAATTTGTGAATAAAAACCAGGCTAGCTGGTATACTTGGAGTGAAAAAAAGAATAGAATTCTTGTATAACACCAA